AGTATTTAATTCATAAAGGCCGCTGCTCCACTTCGTTAAGTTTCTTATTAACACATATTGTAGAGGTTTTCATGGCGCGTCGAATGATATATTGCGCTAGGCTTAATATAGGATGGTTACTGAGAAATGTTGATTTTACTGTCATACTGTTGGTGCTAAATCATTGCTCGTTTTCGAGTAGATTCTGTCGGGTATATTCGACTGAAAGCGCTCAGAAGGGTCGAAATCATCGAATATGATAATGAATGTGATTCTAATGAGGTTTAGACCGATTGAAGCGGTTATTGTTAGTGGGCCGATTTCTGTTCTTATGCGGACTTCACCTTTTTCTCTCTATAAAAGACTGTAAGTTCATTTTTAAAATTACTTTCAATGAATATTCGATTGCACATTTTTTTTAAAACAAAAACATAAGATAGAATAATAATATATGTACAGAATAATACACAGTTGAAAAAGAGGCACATACACAGACGCACACGCCATAAAAAACAATGAACAGTTTTTATCATTCGTTAGCATCAAAAACAATGTACCTGGATATGGTAAAAAAAAAAAATTCTTAAATGTAAAAGAAGAAAACATATGTGCATATATCATCGGGTTTTTTTTCACTTATATGAATTAGAAACAGAAGTAACTGTTTATGTGGATGTAGGGAAAACAAAAACAAAAAAATCATTCGTTGGACAAAATATATGGAATGTCAAACAGATATGTTGAAATAATAACAACAATATGTTTTCTGTCTTCTTCCTGGTACCAACACAAAAGAATATCTGACATACTTATAAAAATACAACCGGTTTTTCAATGAAAGACTATTAGCAATAATTGATAATAAACAAATTAATTTGATGATGGTGATAAACCTGTAGCATTTTGAGCAATGGTAATTTTATCACCATTATTAGTTGTCGTCGTCATTGATGGCTGTGTTTTGTTTTTATTTTTACCAGTTGTCTTTTCTTTTACTTTTAATGCAAATTGTTGTTGTTCTAATTCATCAAGACTTTCTTGCATTTCACTTTCTAATTTCTGTTGAGAGGAGGTATCAAACTGAAATGGATCACAACGCCAAAAGGTGAACGTACTATATGTTTCACTGGCCGCATGATCCATGGGAGGAAATATAAGATCGACAACTTCATGCAGGTTTCGATAACTAAATAAATAATGCAATTTTTGTCAATATTTAAAAGTAAAAAGCCACCTTAGTAGTCGAATGAAAGCGCGTTTAGCTCCCGTTTTGATTATTCTTGAAAAAGAAATACTTACGATGATTGAAGAGCTTGAAGTTTTTGTCGTACAACTTCACCTCGGGGATTGATTGTAAATATACGCGTTAGAGGTATTCCAACGGCTGTATAAGCATACTGATCCTTTAAAAACCAAAAATTTATAAATTTTTTTTTATGTACTCATTTTCTAGATGTCTTACATTGATACGATTTCCAAAGCCGGCATAAAATGGATTTTTATTAGGAAATAGACTTGCTATATTTTTCAAACATTCTATTTTGAACTCTTCTGGTTTTTTGGCGATGACTTCTCTAAAACCAAAATAAAATACTGTAAGAAAAATATTTAGACTGTTTGTATGTGACTAGTTGTTACCTATACAAGGCGGTCATTAAAGAATCAGGTGAAATAAGCAATGGGCCAGCTGGTAATGTACAATCACATTGTTTAATACTTTTTAAAAATTCACGTGTAATACTTGATTGACCAATAGCTCGTGCTGATAAATAAATGAATTGATAGCCATTCTCTTGTATTGCGTCGAAAAATTCAGTAATACCATCTTGAGACCAATCTCTACCAATTAACGGAAGAATATGACCAAGAGCATCGGATCTAAATAAAGTACAACATAAGATAACGTTCAAGTCTTTTTTCTATTCGTAATTCAAGATACTACTGTTCTTTCAGCAATATATCTTAGCTTGCAATCTAGACATATCAACTTGATTCGGATTACTCCGACGCACGAAAAAAATGACAATTGTTTAACAATTTATTGACAGAAGAAAAATTTTACCTTGTTATTGTTCCATCGATATCGGATATAACAAATTTTGTTAAATAATCAAATAGAAATATATTTGATTCGACTGTCGTTGTGCCTTGTAAAGCTGTTGTAACAGAATATTGTACTGGATTCTTTCCCAATTTTAAATTTAATTTTTTTAATTGATCCGATGATAATATCATTGTTTTACGTCCAACCGGTTTTTGTTGAACAAATATTGGTAATGATTGTTGTTGTTCTTGAGCTTGTTCAATCTTTGTAACTTTGTTTTCAATATTGCTTATAATGTTTCGTACTTCATTATCTTCCAATTCACTATCATCAGTTTTTCTGTAAATAAGAAAATAGTAAAACGTAATTAATTATAGTGAGGAGACGCTAAACTCGTTCAATCTAGGGACACATGCCGATTAAACACGTTGTATTCAGCTGAAAAACGATACGTACGATGTATCTCTTTTCTTTATATTCACAAATGACTTTTGACTTTGGAAGCTTGATTCGGTATCCTTTAGTTTTGTATTATTATCAGTCACTGTTTTTGTTGTACTATCTGTTGGTGTTTTAATCTATTATAAACATAAATTATTAAGACTTCATACTATATCAATACAAGTGCAAACTAAGACATTACTTTTTTGCTCCACGGCAGCCACCATCCGCTTCGTTCACTTGAATGTCTCGTTTTTGTTTGTTTTGGGATCATATGTTTTTCCTGCAGTGAATCAACTATATCTTGTGGTAATTTTTCATGATAAATACTTGCAGAGGCCATTACAACGGATGCTACAGCCCAACTGTAATATCTTAAAGGAAACGAGATATTTGTTAAAACATATAAAATCATTTGTGAAAGAGAAAAAAAGCAGTACAGACAGAAATGACTCTCTATCGCTGTGTTTCTACGCAAAACAGCACAAGCATTCTTTCATGTATAGTGGAACATGTTTTTTCATTAAGTCAGCGAACTGTAATCTGACGAATAAATTTCTAACTACGTGTAAAGTATAATTCCTAATTTTGATTATACTTAATAAAATTGTTTTGTAAACGTTTTTCTCAGTTACAGAACAACTCAAATTTTGAAAATTTGTACTGGCTCATATAGATGAAACTGTCTTTTTGTAACTTTTTTCAGTAAGGGGATGGGTGATCGTCTTTGAAGATCGAATTAACCGTAGCTATAAGAAAAATTATCGAAAGGGGATATTGAGAACTGAGCGTGCACGAATGGTCGATATAAATTTTGAAGACTGCGGCTTTTTTCTAACTAAAAAAGCAGTTCATAAAACAAATTAAGTATAGTTTCTGATAACAATGACTACTTAATCTGTTTATCTATTTTCCTCTTTAAGCAAACACAATTATTAATAGCCGTCGTAACCACGTACTTTCCATTTATCCTCACAACTAAATTTGGATTATTAGTAATATCTGTATTAGTTATAAATTGTTGATATGGAACCAAGTGTTTGTTAAACAAATCATCGGTTATTGCTAAGGGATTATTTAAATTTCCACAGAGCGATAGTTGAGCATCGCCTAATATACATCTATAAACAAGAAATGCGCAACAATTAAAAATAATGAATGAATGGACAATAACATGTAAATATAAAGATAAAACAATACTAACGATGTTTCATGTTCATGAAACGGTGATTGTGGTATTGAATAGCCTTTGCCAGAGTCTCGATCATCTTCTGGACGATGAGTGTTTTCTCTAGAACAATAAATATGTTGGTATAAGAAAAAGTATAACATAACAAGCACACATAAAAAAAACTAATTACAGTTTTGGTGAATAAAGTGATGGATCACATTGATTATTTGTTGTGTCATCTAAACATATGTCACTTGGCGATTTTTTTGATGAACCGTACCAATTGCTAAATGTTGCCAAAAAATCTCCATTAAAATAATATGATTGCCTTGATTGATCTGATCTTAAACTATTCGATAACGGCATGTACTTAGAACTATCGACTGGCACCGATTTAGATAGCAAATTGTCTGTAATAAGCATGTGTGAGTTACTATTAATCCTTGATGTTAAATGCTTTGATGGTGATGATTGTTCTTCGTTACTGTTTTGTGACAATGACATATTAATTGCTATTGGATTGGATGTCGTTTGAGTTGGTTTTACTTCATCCATATCCAAATCAATATCATATTCGTCTGTTTGTTCAGATTCCGTTTGTTGTTGTTCATTTTCATTTGAATCTATCATGATTCCACCGTCTAATGTTGATGGAAAGGATACTCTTCTTGAATCACTGCCGCTGAATCTACTCATTACACTTATGGCATCAACATATTGTAACGATATATTATCTTCTTCTTGGAATGATTTCCTTTTACCAATATTAGTTGGCGTTAAATCATCTTCAACTTCTGACTGTGTCACAGCCCTGTAATAATAAAAAAAAATTATAATTTTTTTTTCTATATAGGACAGATAGAAGTATAAACTTTATCAATCGAAGATTTTTGTACCAGAAAAAAAAGTATTTTTAAGACAATTTCACGTCATCATTGTCCATAATGTTTCAACTCATGTATGACTCCGATATTTCTAATATCTCTAGATATTGATATGAAAATAGAAGAGACTCTCAACTAATATAATGAACAAAACTCACATTGTTGATGTCTGTTGCTCCTGTGCAGCAATGTCTGGTATCGGTGTCGAAGGCTCTACATGTGGCTGTTGTTGTTTATTTTTTGGTAAAAAGGCAAATAAATCATGATTATATAAAAAATTTAAATTATTTTCACTTGAACTTTTCCGAATTAAATGTTGTAAATGATGAATACTTGCTGAACGTGGTTTATATAAATCAGTAATAAATTCATCACTATAATAACCACTACTAGAACCAAAATCGGTATTAGTAGAATTTTGACGTTGTTTATTTCCAGATAATTTTTTTTTTCGCATTGCTGATTTTTGTTTGCGTAATGTTAATACAAAACGTTTTTGATTTGCTAATAAAATTTTTTCAGCCCGTTGAAATAAATGCAAAAGATCAGTAGGTGTTGTTTGTAAATCAATTTTACATTCAGCTGTTTCATTTTTAACTTGTATATCGTTTTCAGTTTTATTGCCATTATTGACATCATCATAGTCATCATCACTAGATAAAGAAAAATGATTGATAAGTAAGTGAGATCAGAGTAACGATTAAAGATTGAAATAATTGTAGTAAATTTGACATACCTCGAACTATCAGTAGATTTTGTTGTTGTCATTACTGTTGATGCTATAGTATTACATCGTTTCACTCGTCGACGACGACGTTGTTTTGGAAGAGCTAATAATTGCTGTGAAAGAGGACTTCTTGTTGTTGTATTATTTTTTGATAGATCAGTTTTTCCAGTTGAAATTTCAGTGATCGTATTTGAGAATGGATCTGTTGAAAATGATATTGAATTAGTTAGTTGATTTTGATTCTGAGTATTTGAATTATCTTTTACAGTTGAGTTGATAACATCAACATTTAGTTTTTGTTGTGGTTGTTCATAAGCATAAGTGGGTACAGTTAATGTATTTGGATCGTTCACTGTTTTTTCTATATCTGATTTTTTATTTAAAAATTGTGGAGAACGATCAATATTTGTTAGAGGAGTATGATGTTCACCATCAGCTGCAGCAACAGCGTTTGAAAATGCATTGTCCGGATCAAGAAATGTATTATCATCCGACGGTTCTAAATGACGCTCAGCACCATCGATCGATGATTTTGTCTAAAGTTAAAATTTATAGAGAAAACTATAAGTTTTTTCTAGAATGAGAAAATATTCATACCCTATCATCCGTCATATTTGTTTGATCGATAAAGACTGCTTCGCCAGCCTCACCCAATTGCATCCACAGATCAACAGTTTCATTATTGATCGATATATATACCTAAAAAATAGATCAAGATGCATAATAATGGAAAAAGGATTTATATGTTTTTATACGTGTTATTACCCTTTTCTGTGAACTTTGTATAACGCCTAATTTTCCAAATCGAACATGAAATGGTGTACAAAGAAATGTACCATCTTCTTGTTTAACAACAATAACATCAATAGCACCTTAATAAATAAAAATATATTATTTAAATACAATCAAAGTGTACATGTGACAATATACCGGTTAAAGTTGAAGGATTGATATTCTTATAATAAGATTTAAACAACGAAATTATTCGACCAATTGACATTTTTAATTATAACTTAATCATGTTTGAATTGTTTGAAGATAATGATCTAAGAGAAAAACATTAGGCTGTGACATGACATATAGATTTGAAATATGTTGTCTATTAATTTATTCCAAGATCAATTAGTGTACGAAAATAGAGTAACAATTACATGTGGGAAATAGAGTACACGTATACTCAAAAAAGAAGAGAAACAAATGTGTTACCATCTATCTTCAGTTGAGAGAAGTATAGAAAGGCTTATAATACTAAAAAAAAAGCCAAACGTATAGAGTCAACTGTGATAATTCTGGTCAGTGTCAAAAATTTTCTCAATCTTTTGCTGATAGCAGTGCCGTTTATAACAGATAGATAGAACTGACTTTTGTCTATCGATTGATGTAAAAATTATGTTAAAACTCATTAAGGTTAATTAGTTCTAACAGATTTCCAGTCACTTGCTATTGAATGACCGGTGGAGTAATTCCACCGGTAAACTTTTACATTTCTAACTAAAACTGACATCGTTATATGCAGAATAGTGTGCTCTATCTATCTGTATAAAATTGTTTTTCTCCTGCTATAAATGGCTAAGCTATCAACAACAAACTGAGGAAATGTTTAATACTGACCAAAATTACCCCAAATGACCTTATATTTACCTAGACAATTCAACAAAACAGTTTTTCTATTCATTTGCAGGTATACGATGACTAAATAACGTATATATAATATACTTCTTTCGATTTTTGTCCAGTCCTTTCTGTTCTCTTCTACCTCTGATAATTGCGCAATTCAACGATGTCCTTAACAGTGGAGAGCAAAAGTTAGATTTCAAAAAACTTTGATTCATAGAATGCTAATAAAATCTTTCATCATAACCACCAAAAGTTAGTAACTTTTTTCAAACTCTTTCCTTATTTCTCGAAATTACACAAAATTTACGTTTTTACATGCCAAAAGAAAATTAAAACTTCTATTAGAGTAAAAGGACTCTTTACCAAGTACACTTTTTTTGCAGTTTCTCGACAGATGTAAGGACCAGCTTTGCTTTAAACGAATCTAGACATGTAAATTTAGAAGTTGATTGATGCGGTTTTTGACTTCAAGTTAAAAGTTTTAAAAAGACCATTGATCGGGTTCAGCGATTTAAAGTTTAATTCTTCAGAATAAAAACAAATAAAACATACTTTGATTAGCATAGGTTCTCTCATGCACGAAAAAAAGTATCTTACTATTCGACAGTTTGCCCGACACTGCTAGCGAGCAACTCAGACCTTGCAGGAAAATGCTAATAATTTTCTAATACTAAGTTAAATATCGATTACTCAAACATTGGTTTACGCGCTATATCTTATTCTGAGAAAAACAAATTTGCTCTACTAACCTATATATATAGGTCACAGATTGATGCACTTGCATTCAAAAAGGACTTTTTTCTCGAAATTGGGTGAATCAGGGATTTTTAAACATAAAAATGCAAACTCTCTGTTGACATTAATGTTCTTACAGGATATTACTTGGCGTTTAACACTCACATCGTTACTGTTAACATTTCCTGGTACAATAGAAATACTTGAAATGTTACCTGAATTTTATTAATTTTAATTTCAACAAATATATATGAAGTTGATATGCAAGCACGTATTTTTTTCACTTATTCTCTTTTACCATAAGATGAAAAACTAAAAAAAGATTTGTATCTTTTATCGTTTCTGTTATTCATATACACACGCAGATAAAAAAAGAGCCATTGAGTATAAAAAAAAAAATAAGATAATGTTACGTAGTGTATAAATATATCAAGGGACAGAAGTGAGTGAAAAAAGGGACAGTAAGAAGGGATATACAGTCTTACTTGAATATAAAAACTATTACATACAGATTGATAAGGAGCTTAAATTCTAATAACCATTTTGCAAGACCAAACGATCAATGTAAACTTTCTGTAATCCTCGATTTGTATCCATTATTATTCAAGAAAAGAGATCACTATTTTAGAGATAAAAAGTCTTCATGTCCACTGGGCACGAATCGAGGAAAGAATTTTGCATTATCACATAGTCAATGTTGAAAATGTTCTTCGAAAAAAATAACTGCTCTTACCTACTTATAGAGTAGTAAAGGTAATTGCTTTTATGAGAATAAACATATGCGCCAGTGTCGATGATATATAGTGTCAACTACGAGTGCATTTATTACAAAGTATGATATAAGATATCTTAGGAGATGATATGAGTACATTCTCTCCTTCTATGGAAAACGGTGAATGAAATACTGTTCTATCTACGATCAAAACATAGCAAAACATAACGAGAAAAAGATTATATTTTCTTTTTCTTCTAACCGCTCCCTCCTTTTTTATTATTATGATTTGTAGATACAACTTGTGATACATTTTCTATTCGCACATATTTTTGTTTCGACCGCGTGAGACATTAAAGAGAAATATCAGAAGTTGTATTTACGCAGCATCAAAAAATAGGTGTGTGTATGTATTTGGCATAAAGCCAATCAATCATGCGACAGAACAAAAAATACAAGGCATCAGGTGATGAAAATATGACTTATTAGAGAATACGAACAAAATAGTAAATAGCAAGTAGTAAGAGGCTATACAGTACACTTTTAGTCATGCACCATATACTCGTGATACAATCAAACGCTCGTCACAATTAATCTCAACTTTGAGAAATAATGTATTAATATCATAGACCAAGAAAAATTAAATGAATAGAACTGCGACTAACCGTTTCTAAGGTCAATTCATCCTATTTGTTTAAAAGGAAAAAAAACATTTATCACGAGATTCAAGCAAGATAATGTTATTTTACGTATAAGTCTGATATAATTCGAACTCATGACATCCAACGTATAGGACTACATTTCCTTCCATTTATCGAACAAAAAGTATAATTCTGTATACATCCATATTGCATCGAGACTATAGTTGTTATCGATGGTAAACATCAATATAAAAGATAAAACTCAGGTGATTACAAGGCAACACATTCAAGAAAACAAAAAAAGAAGCAAACAATTAAAAACATCATAATAAAAATATCTATTAAAAAATAAAAGATGTAACATGGCTTAGAAAAAGAGATAAAAGTTAAGTCTAAACGAAGATAAAATTAACGTTCTTCTCTAATATATGAAGATCATAGAAACTTTAAGGTCTTTATATTCATTATTCCTCATAGATTCGTACGCTGAATCCTATTTAGGGAGAATAATATAAGAGTGGTAATTATAACTCAGCAGAGTAGAGCTATGGTATCCTGAACACTTACACTTACTATGAACTACATAGGGATTTTTCTTACGTATAATTAAAAATGACGAAAACTGCAGTATACATACACACAAATGTACTATGTAATTCGGATGGCATTATATAAACAGAATGGCAATATCTAAACTAAATTTAGCAGAAATATTAACTTAGACAGTCAACAGAATTCTGACAAAGTCATCGTACAACATTTAAGTATTAATCATTGTTACTAGTTTCTTTTATGAAACAAGATGTCTGATACAAAAAAAATGGAAAAATAGAATAATAATTAGACATACAATTAGCAACATTCACATAGATAAGTGTAGGTAATACTGAACGTATTATTTATACGAAATCTCAATAGGATCAAGTTTATTGAAATGAGAATCTTATCAGAATGTATAGTAGTCTTCTCGGCTCACAACAGTTCTCATCAGTCAGAATAAACTGAAAATTCGTTCAGATTTTCGACCGATAAAAGGAAATAAAGTCTTAAATGAGAATATCACATTTTAATTTAATTGCACAAACACAAACTGTTGTTGTTGAATATATAGAATTTTCTTCACCGCTTCTTGTCATCATCTGTTATATTTTTAAAATAACTAAGTCTTTTTATATAATTGTTTGTCATTCCGTTTCAATATTTAATTTTTCTAACATTTTTAATTAAATTTGTTAACAAACATGTCACATTTTTGAAATAAATGTATTTGCTATGTCCAACGATCAATAACATAGATACAAATAATTTTTTCGATCAGCAATCTTTATCACATTTCAAACTATCAACATCTCAAATATTTTTTTAATAAAAATTTTCTAAATAACGTGACCACTTGACATATATCCGTAACAAAAAATAGTTCACGATAAACTTTTTTATACATCATGATATTTCTTCATTATCTTGAAATGTTAAAAAATATCGTCACCATGTCAGATCATAAAAGTGAATATATTCGATATTTTCATCATTAGACAAACAAAAAATAAAGAAAACGTAATAAAAAAATTGAATGATCCTTATCATAATAAACATTTTGTCACGATTATCACCTCTGATAAACGATTTGTCAATATCTGCATAAAAAAATTTTCTCCTCTTCTATCGTAGCCACGATAATGTATTTTCACATCTTTAGCACATTTACAAAACCACGAAGAATAGAGTATAACACAGACATCTAAAAATAGAAATAAATTATATTTCTATGAAAAGAGTAAACAGTTAATTGATAACAAGGCATTTTAATTTATTTTTAACAAAACTATGATCAATAGTGAAAAAACAAATTAATTAATGGAGATTTTGCTGATGTTTTGTTTTTTATTACAAAAATAAATATATTTTTAATGAATAAACAAACATTTTGCCTGTCATTATCATGTTTCCATTGTAATAAATAATAAATAAATGAGGTTAAAAGTAATTTCATATCTGATGAGTTATTTTTGATCTACTTCTTTCGTCTATAATCGAGCGATACATGACTAGTTGCCATCTAGATTACTAGTTGGAAAAGGGACTTTTAACTAGATGCGTCTGCAGATGTATCTAGTAATAATTAAATCGATCGATTATCGGGTGATAAATCGATTGTTGCAACTAGAAAAAAATCGAGTAATCGTCCAATTACTAGATTTCCATTGTCGTTACACAGTAGTTGCAATCGAGTAAAAATCTAGTAATCTAGATGAACTGGGTGATACTAGATTTTTTTTTGACGCTTGGATAAGCAAAAAACTGTCACTATATTATTAATAAAATCCGAGAGTGTGTAGGTGGACAGATATTCACTATGTCACATGAAAGTATAAAAAATACTATAACATCAAGATGAGAAAATAGACGGTAAAAGTAAGCAATTATATAATAATAATAATATTGAATACATGTGCTAAAACTATTGAGTTCTCAGTAAAAAAAAATTTTTCAGAAAATTTTATTTTATTAAATTATTACACTTATTAAACTAGTAATTGTAATACATACAATAAAAGTAGATATAATACATTTTTTAAATAAAACATCTTTGATTTTCTACAAATGAATAAATTGGATTAATTCGGGTAGAGCATATTCAATGACCTGATTAAAATGAAATTAGAGTAATTTTATCATCATTTTTGTTTTTAGTTCAACTTACAAAGAATTCATTTTCATAAATATTATCAGTGTACGATGTGTATGAAGTGTAATATTCGAATATCGAATACTTGAATAAAATATAAATGTGACAAAAAACAATTTTTTTTCAGTATATGCCTCTCCTTCAATTTACGCAACTTGTTATGAAAGAGATTTTTATTTGAACACGGACTGTAACTTACTATTTGATGCTACAAATGGGGTAAAATTATACTACAATTGTTTCACAAATAACCTTTTTATTTAGAATCTGAATGATAATTAGATCTTTCCTTGAAAAAAACGGACTGCCGCCAAATGAGAAAAAAATATTTTATTGTTCATAATAAAAAATTCTTTTCATTATCCTCTAGAGTTGAATTGTATGTTTAAGTATATGCACAAACTTTCACGATTACATCATTATATATTCAGTCATAGGAAAATACTTTTATCAACTGTTGTTGATTTCAATTTTTGATAGTTAATGGACAACAAGAAGTGATTATTTCATTAAGCAACTATGTTTTTGAGAATGTTTATCTGAAATATTTCTTGTTTGCATCGTATATTTATCGGTAATGTGAATATTTATTGCATTACTAATCATTCATTCGTAATCCACTTAATGTTCTACTTAGACCGTTTTTTAGAATTTAAGAATAAATTTATTTTTTATTTTATCAATAGCGATTCATTTTTGATGATTTTTAGTTGTCTCTCTTTTTATTTATAGCTTTTTATGATGTATTTCCGTTTTGTCGACTCATTAATTGTTTTTCTAACTCGTTGACAACATTTTGGGGGAAAATGTAAGATGTTTGTGCATTGCCGACGCTATATATAAAATGTCAACGAAATAGGAAAACCATATAACGTGTCAACAAATCAGGACTGAACCGTTGTTTATATCGTTCGAAATTTTTTATTTAATACACGATAAGAACAATGACACATTCTAGATTCTCACCGATAATAATTGTTAATTTTTTCACCTTCTGTCTATATTTCATTGATAAAGATTTTTATGTGTCGAATAGATAACAAATCGATTTATTTACAATCATCCATCCGATATTACAACCTAGTCGTTTCACGTTATTGTTCAATATCTGAGTATCATTTATAGAATAGTCTGACGATTCTCAATATGCTGAATACATAATTAACAATCACGTACAGAACACTTTGAATACTCTATTTTGTCGTATATTTTGATAACATGTTCCGATTATCTAAACATATCCTACATCAACTCTCTACTCCACTATCTATCAATCTCATAACTTGAAATTTCTCTGCACTACAGTTTTGCGGAATAAACTTTCCCCAGCTCGTAAGATTTTTTCCCCAAATTCGTAAAAAGTTTTTATTCTATGCCACGGACCGGGATACAGAATCTATACGTGTGTTTGAAAAACTTTTCCACCTTATAATTTACAAAATGATTCTATTCTGTTCTAAAACTTTTAGTGTTATAAATGAAAGATTTTCACTATTAATCAATGATTTAGGAGCACAAAAACAAGTAAAACAAATCAAGGATAAGAGAAAACACTACTATATAGAAGAAAACAAGTTATTCTCTAAATTAGTTCAAAATTACATTCAAGATATTTCTACGATGGAAATTTTTTGACGTTTTCAAATTGAAAATTCCACAATTTTTGTTTCACGAACATCATCTTATTCTTTTAGAGTAATAAATACAATAAAAGTAAAATCAACAATGAGAACCACTACTTAAATGTTCAACGTGACTCATGTAAAACAATAGCAGCAGCCAAATCTTCAATAGCCAAACCTAAAATGAGAATATAAGTTAAGCCCTATTAATCTATCGCAAGTAGGAGACATATTCACCTAGTGACTTAAAAACTGTATAAGATGATTTCTGATCATCAAGAAGTGTGGGGAATTTCAAAACTTCTCCGATTTCAGCTGTTATTGTTGCCTAACAAAAAATAACAACAATTACATACAGTCATTAATGTGAGAAACAATTTATACTTTTGACTGAACAATATCTCCCGCTTCTTTTGCAGCACTTTCTTTACTATCAACAATAATTGTTGAGTTTAACATTAAATTATCGTCTAATTCACGCATTGTTAGACGAAAAGAACCGACGGCTAATTGAATACACAAAAAAAGGCAACTTTTAGCGATAATATGAAACTTTATTCTGTTAATCTACCGTTAATATGTCCACCAAGTTTGATACGTTGAACACTTAATAATGGTTCCTCACTTGCTGTTGTTGTACACACAACATCAGCTTCTTTTAAACGTTCGTCATCTAAATCATTTAATACTTCAATTGTATTTAACTCAGCCGAATAATCATTTTTTAAACGCTCAGCTTTTTCGATATGTCTATTCCACAGATAAATCTAGAATATGGTCAAAAAAAATAAGAATTTATGAGTACAATAAAAATACTACACTTTCTCTCCTTCACTATACTTTTTTCCATTTGAATAATTGTGTAAAAACTTTCAAATGAGAATAACCTTGAGTACCACATCCCAATATTGCTAAAACTGGTTCTGTTTTTAATTTTGATAAGATAATGGCCTAGAAAAGAAAAACAATTAACTCACAAGAAGAATAAACACACATCACTCTTAAATTTCAACAATGCGATCTATTAAACGTAATGACATTATGACAAAATGTAAATTTTTCTCATGAACGTAGCCGAATTTAATCAACCTACAAATACCATAGCTATTTTTGTCGTTAATTTCAATTGAATTAGCAAAGCTTATTTTTAATTCATTAAACTGTAGTAAAAGTACTCAAGTAAAAACTAATAATTCATACTCTTGTAGCTATAGCAGACACAACAGCTGTTCGAATTGCTGTAATTTCTTGTGCGTCAGCAACCTTAGAAACAGATAGAGAAATGAGTTTGAAAGAAATTTTCCTACAACTGTTTCCTACCAGTAATAACTGTCCATTATTTGAATTAAACAAAGAAACAGTTCCATCTAGTGAAGGTGAACAATTTGGATAGAGTGTGAGAGTTTTAAGTGCTAAATAGCCTCTTTTTAAATCAACGCATGGCATGTTAAGTAATATACTAGAATATGATAGTCCATGCAAGACAATTTGAAAGAATATCTGTTTACATACTTTTCGTTACCATCACCAATTGGCATGGATGAACGTAACGGTTGTTTAAGCGTTTTATCATTCGATGAATATCTCTTTAAACTGTCTTCAAGTAGATCGTTAAGATGATTTAATGATAATTTATCTTGTACAGCATGTCGATCGTAATACATAGTAGAATTAGTTTCCGAAGTCATATTAGGAATAAAAGGGAAAAAATCTGAAAAACAAAGAAACTACTGATAAAAGAGCGTTTTTCATGACCGTTAACATAAAAACAATATTCTATCCTGAAAATCTGATTTTCACCTTGAAAAAACAACTTCTACTTAGCATTCTACTTAGCAAACAATAAGGAGCAAGCAATAGAGTAAGATGTCTTTAAAACGTAGAAAAAATATCATATAAATCTCTCATATCATTTCTACCTATATGGTATGTTGATAGTACAACAAGCAGAATAATATAAATACTAACCAAACTCGATACGACTATGAAAGCGCGACAATTAACAAACGAATGAATGAAAGTACTATAATTTCGATTTGCTAGCAAAAGCCGAATTGGAACGCGACTAGCACCTCTCCAAAAGAAAGAACCAATGTGCGTGATGGTTTAAGGCTTCAACGAATAACTGTATATATAACATGAATTGTTTGAGTCTACTTTAACTTAGGAAACGGGAAAAGATAAAACTTTTGACTCGTTTACGACGCCAAATCAGATTGTCTTCTTTTTGTAAATATGAGTTTTGTCATATATCTATATTAATTAACCATAACGTATATTTGACGGTTTGTGTCGCTCGTGTTTAAAGCTGTCTTTATGTGTTTTGTAACAGGATAGAAGAGTTCACCGTTCTTAGGCATGCGTTAAAACATGGTTACAGTATGGCATTGCTTAAACGAAAAAGACTGATAAAATAGTGTAAATTATAGGAAAACCCAATCTATGTATATGTAGCTTTTACAGCGAAAAATTGACCAAAAACTTCCAGGTGAACGCTTTAGTGTGAGATAGCATTTTTAATTCAAGAGAGAACAAAATGGGTTTCCACTTTGAAAATTGATTCTATTCTATTTTTACACAGACCTAGACGGGAAATGTTTATTAATTTACTTCACTATGATTATACGGAAGGTGATGCATTGGATAGATTAGATCTAAAACGATGTTGTTGTCGAAGAATGTTATTATCACACGTTGACTTAGTTGAAAAACTTCTAAACTATGCACCTCTTGAAAAGTAGACTATTAGTATATTTTGCTTCATCCAGATGCTAAACAGAATCATTTATATTCGATCAGTTATCTTTTTTTAATAAGAACTTTTCATTGACGTTTACTGCAAGGAAATAAAAACCAAATAGAAAATGACATGTTCAACATCCGAAAAGAAACTTTTTGCTAAACATGATCGAAGTAATAGATAAATATGAGAAAAAAATTGATGTTTATTATATATTTTAGATGGAGGAAATATTTTCTTTAATACGCGAAGGAAATACATTCAACGTAAGAATGTGGCTTGATAATCCGGACAACGATATTAACCAAAGGTAAGACGTATTTGTTTGTGACAGAAGGGTTTTTTTTCACCAGTTTTTCGTGGAAAATTTAAAGTATTTATATTAATAGTAAGTTGTTCATTTTAGTGATGAGCATGGTTTTACTTTGTTACACTGGGCTTCTTGGAATGGTCGTCTACCGATTGTTCTTCTTCTCGTTCAACGTGGTGCTAGAGTGAATGCTGTTAATAAATGTAAGATCATTCTCTTATTCGTGCCTGTCTAACATGATTCTTTTTATTTCATTTTAGCTGATGATACGCCTTTGCATTATGCTTGTTCACACAATCATTCTGATGTTATCCATTATGTAATTAAGATTAAAAATAAGAACTACTTATCTACTTATCGTCTACTTATCTTCAATTAGTGTTTTCTCTGTTTTCTAGCTAATCAAAAATAAAGCTTTGGTAAATGCTGTTAATGAACATGGAAATACACCGTTACACTACTGTTGCTTTTATTCTTATGAAACAGCTACAGAGGTTTGTTTTTCCTCCTTATGTCTGTGTGTATGTGAAGCTAATATACTAATGCTTAACAATGCTGCTTGCAGGAATTAATACGTTGTGGAGCTTTGCTCACTATTTTAAATAAATATGGACAAACGCCATTAAATTTAACTAAACCAGTTTTGCGACAAAAATTAATGGGTATTTCTGTTATAAAACATAATGGAAAAAGGCTAACTTATTTTTATTTTTTTTCTGCTTTTAGAATTAGCTCAAAGTCTTGGTCAAGATTTGAAAACACTCATACCGTTTAAAGATCAATCGTGGAAATGGACAATGCACAATCGAGTTCGTAAGTAAAGAACTAAACTTTTCTATGAAATGTGTTTTCTACTGGGCTAATTTATGTTTATTCTAGCTGACAGTAATTGTAGTCGTCAAACACAGATTATCGGCATATCTGAACTACAGTTTCAATCTGTGATTTATTCCGACCATCGAAAAGAGGTTAGAATACATAATCAAATTATAACAACATCAATGCTTATTTGCGTTTTATTAGATCTGGCATGCCCTATGGAATGATAGAGAAGTAACGGCAAAAGTATTCAAGTTAAGACATAATTATAAACAAAAAATGTACAGAGATTTTCAACAAGAATTTCAAAAACTTAGGTATTTGAATTATTTTTTTAAATATGTTACATGTGAATTTCTATTACTGATCTATTTTTTCTTTCTGTGCATTAAAGAATTAGGTCCTTGCGCCTCGCTGAACCGAATAGGATAAAACTTAGATGATAGAAGCAGAATTTCTCGATAAATCCAACAGCACGTTTCTTTTAATTTCATTTTGACTTCTCTAATGCTGACACAATCTACCTGATTTTTGCCTAAATTTTTAAGAAAAAAGGCGCCGATGAGAGAACCAAAATTTAGGTAAAAATCAGATAGATTGTGTCAGCGTCAGAGAAGAAGTTAAAATGAAATTAAAAGAAATCCGCTGTTGGATTCATCGAGAAATTTTGCATTTTGTATCTGAGTTTTATCCTGTTCGGTTCGTACAGGCGGGAGCACACCTAATTCTCTAATAATAGTTTAATACAGAGTAAGAGCTTATACCCATTTTCTTGGCGAATGGCTTTCTCAATGTTTCTGTAGACGAATATTTTGTTATGTTGTTGTTGTTTAACTCTATTCTTGTATAATATTCGGTATTGTTTATTTAGGATATTTAATTCTCCACATGTTATTCCTGCACTTGGAATCTGTAATGATCCTCCAAATTTGATACTGATCAGCCAGTTCATGTCTTGTGGTTCATTATTTCACGTACTACATGAAGACACAAGTGAATTGAAATAAATGTTTCTTGACTGTATATGTTGGATATGTTTGTATTTTCTCTTTTAGATATAACGCTTGATTTTAGCAGATGTTTAAATTTTGCATTAGACATAGCAAAAGGGATGGAATTTCTCCATCAATTGCAACCGTTGTTGGCCAGTTTTCATCTCAATAGTAAACATGTTCTTGTAAGTATAGTAACTTTAGATAAGATGACGATATAGTTCCTCCCTCTTAATCAGTGCAGTCTGATAAATCTCATCTTTCGTAGATTGATGCTTATTTTAATACTGTTTCCGATAAGGTAAGTGACTTTTGTTCATTTCCTACCTGTTTCTCCTTTGTGCTTATTCTCTTTAAGAAATACTTTGCATGTATCATCTGGTCAAAAATAAAAAAAATATTTTCTCTAGTTTTTTTCACCATTTCAAACGAGAGGATGTTAAATTTTCACTACAAAAATTTAGCATTCTAAATAATAAATTTTTTCTTCTTCTTTTATCTGCTTTTTTAACTTATGTTTTTTCTTTTAAAAATTGATATTTCTAAAGTTGATAATTGTTTAGATTACTGACGATTTGGTTGCACGTATCAATTTGGGCGATTATAAATTTACATTTTTTGAGAGAGATCAAATAACCGATCCTCAATGGATGTCTCCTGAAGCGTTACAATCTTCATCGGATGAAATTAATCTTAAAGCAGCTGATATATGGTCATTTGCTATCATTCTGTGGGAGTTAAATACAAGACAAATTCCATTTCAAGATTTATCAGCAATGCAATGTGGAATGAAGGTTCATCATACTCTATTTAACAAATATTTTAGAATTTGATTTTTTCTTTTTTTTTGGTTTAGATTGTTTTTGAAAATCTTCGTTTAACATTTTCAAACAATTTTTCAAATCATCATTTACAAAAATTAATTAAAATCTGTATGAATGAAGATCCAACGAAACGTCCAACATTCGATGCTGTTATTCCTATTCTTGAGAAAATCCAGGCTTCAGTATAAAAAAAAGCACATTAACTTTTTCCATTTACTTTATGTAAGCAGTGAACACGTGTTTTTGCATGTTTTATTCATTTATTTTTGGACTCATATTTTGTTGTTTCGTATATAATCTCAATGATAACTCAATGTATATCCTCTAAGATATGTTCAGACTCTATAGCTTTTTTATGAAAGCTACTTTTTTTAATTATTTACATACGAATTTTAGAATTTTTGTATATTTAGTCATTTTTGATAGTTTTTTTGTTTTTACATATAGTAAAAGTTTGAAACAAACAGTATTGACGGACTATTATACTTTTGGATTGTACACATTCGTCAATTGCTGGAGTGTATAAGATGTGTATACTGTATTTTGTTTCTCAGATTATGAAGTATTAAAAAGAAACAGAAACTAAGAATTCCTACTGTCAGAAATATCAGTTTTGAGATTTATACATGGTTGGATATCCCAAGGTGTCTACTTTCAACTGCACTATAATTTATTGGTTTTACGATGATTTTTTTGACGCACACAAAACTTGAAAATGATCTTTTTACAAACTTTGGTTATTGAAGTCTATTGAGCATCTCTATAGATTTTCGACTGTGGAGAATCTAACCAGTATGTACTGTCATCTGTATCTGCATATACCAACTTTTTTACCTGATATTTCGTTCATACGATAGAAATCAATTATTCAATTATTTTAGTTTTAAACTTCACATGCATTAAAATAGGAGAAAGGGATTCGTTCGACATATTTTTTATGCGGTTTGATATTACTGTTTGTCTGTAGTCGTATTTATTTTTGGTTTCAATCAAAAAAAATATCAAGAGGAGGGGTATGATGGAGCACTCTTTTTAGAAAAAAAAGAAAGAAGTACTCTTGTTTTCTATCCAACTCAAAAGGAGTACTCCAAAAACTATAATGGAGTACCCACAAAAAATGAGTACTCCTGAGTGCTCCTTTATTTGAAGTGCTCCCTGTGCCTCGGCTGCACTTTATAAAAAGGAGTGCTTCGAAGCACTCCAAAAAAGAAGTACTCATGAGTACTCCTAATATGTGACATTACTCCATCAAACTAATCTCTTTTCTATTTTCACGCACTCCTCTTACTCATAAAAATAAATAGTGAAAACCACAGGATTTTGAGTATATAATCTCTGCTCCTCTCTACTATGGAGTTTTGAAATATTTTTAAGTAATTTGAGATTAAAGTAATATATGAAGAAAATGAGACGAAGACGTAAAAATAATCGTAAGAATAATAATTAATGAGAAATACACTACAAGTATAAAACTTCGAAGCAAATCATTCTAAGCATAATTCTGATACTAGAAACTACGACGCTAGAAACTAGAAACGTAGAAAAACGTTTTCTCTATATAAGAGTTCCACCTGTAAAGTATTTCCCAAGATTTTTTATAGCGGTTTGTCGTAGAGAGTTCATTTTTTTTTGTTTAAAAGAGGAAAAGAACTACATAGTCTGACTGGCGCCGATTTTTGAATTAGGTCTTAGTTTTTTTATCAAATTGAGGATTTTTAGAAAATCCGGAAGGAGTTTTCGGGTTTTGGAGTTTGTTGATTCCCTGCAAAACCAACAAAGGCTTAATTGAAAAATCGGCGCCTGTCAGACCATGCAGTTAGGTGTCTAGCTTAAAACAAAACAAACCCGAACTCGCCAGCTGAAGTATATTAAAAAATCTTGGGAAAAACATCAGACTCCTTTTCGGACCTTGATCTCTGGAAAACTCCTAAAACTTGGAGACAAAAAAGTTTTTTCATTCCCGTAACTCATTAAACCTAACATTTATGGAAAGTTTCGTCAAGATCGGATGTACGGTGTCGGAGATAATTTCTGAGGGGGAGGGGCCCTTAGCCTTATACAATTGGAATTATACACAGATATTGAAACGATAATGAACGAATGAATTAACGATACACAGATAATGAACGATGGTTTGAACAATACGCCGCACATCGTGATGAATCTCATCAACGTTATTATAAACAAAATATCAGTAATAAAAAATTATTGTTTCAAAGCAGATGTAAAGTTTATTCTGTCGTAAGTATCCGACGTTCAAATAACCATGCAAAAGTCAATTTGTACAATGAAAAAACAATGTTTTTGGCACTTGTGTTAGTTAGAAATACGACAGTTGGTAATTCGCCTATGATAGTAACATCCACTGGTTATGACACAACTAATGGGGACAAATCAATTTTTGTTGTTTATCACGACGCGCAATCATATGCTGATTCTCTGATTGCATACTAATAAACATAACATCAAAGTTGATCATTCCGTCAAATTAAAAAACAGTTATAAACTTTTTGCTTTTTATTTACGATAAACTCGCATTTTTCGGTTATATAAGAAGGACGATGTTTTTTATTAAACAAATCCTGGTTTTTCACATTCTTTTTGTTGTGATCTTTCTTATTTGAATGAGCATTAATGTTGCAGTTTAAATAAAACTAAACGCAGGAATTTTTGTTGTTCTTTATTATTATGCATATCAAATTAAAAAGTACATTATTGCTTTAATGGACAGAGAACATGAAGACTTTTGATTTTTGCCATCTGATAACCATGTCACGGGTTCTATTAAAAAGAACTGTCAAAATTTGTCATGAATATTGTTTTGTAGAGATCTTTGGAAAATACACATCGATGTCTCATTCATAATCAATCCAAATGAGCTAAGAATTTTAAGGTGCTCTGCGGACACTATTGTGCAATTGTAGATAAAAAAATATACTAAAAACTTAAAATAATTATCCAATATCATCGAGTCGATTACATTCGATCTTTTCCCAAAACACCAGTACAACAAAGGCAGCAGTCAGTGGAAATAGAAAACTTTATCTGGACACAAAAATCAATTTTTCTTCTCTTTATTGGCCATAAAAAACGTTAGATATTATATTCGTACCGAACATTTTAAACTTGTTTGTAGGGTTCAAATAGTTGTATATTTGACAAAATTTTCAAAATTATAATTCAAAAATTCCGAAATTTAGACTTTTTTTTCTCAAAATCATTTTTGGAAATTTTTTTTTATTCTATATACTACCCTGCTAGTACTTCAAAAAATGTTGACTTTTCTCAAATAATATTTCTCGTGGGAGTTTTCTAGAAATTCCAGTAAAATCGTGCCATTCCAGTATGTTAATGTCAAAGTAAGCCAGATTTCTCCTGTTCTGCATATAACCTAACCATAATTATTCATTTTTTACTGTTCGTGAGTATGGCTGAAAAATGATATTTCTACAAAGTCTTCTCAGAACAAATGTGAAGACGTTTGTATTCCTCCATCACAAGTATCTGAAATATAGATGATATATAATTTTCGTGAGGTGGCCTTCACACTCGAAAAATAGGTCTAGATGTTAAACTTCCGTTGAAGAAATTAAAAGAAATTTCCACGTGTATACTTTAGAAAAAATTCTTTTGTATTCTGTACCATTTTGTTGATGATACAACATGCATTCAAAATGTATTATCAAATGCTTTCAAATAAAGACAGTTTAGACCAAATTAAAAGCGTTGACGGTGTTGTTCTTATGCGATTTGAAGTCTAGAAACTACATTCATATGATTATAAATGCATAAATTACGTTTTGTTTGAATAGATTTTCGATTTTCTTCACAAACTCTACAAATACTCGAGTTTTTTTGTATTGCACTGCTTTCAAGGTGGAAACAGCTGATTTTTCCGATTTTCTGTGATTTGTTTGGGAAATCAAGTAAAGACTGCGATAAATAGTGCAGAACCTGCTTTATTTGTACAAAATAGGAATCAGACATAGTGAAATTAAAGAAAAAAAAGATAAAATCATAAGCGATTTTTAGCGATTTTCGATTTAAATCGATTTTTCAAAAGCTCAAAAATCAACTGTTTCCCCCTTGATTGCTTTACTATCGTATAAAAAACAAAAAGAGCAAAGTGCTTCTTCTATTCATGATCTATTTTCAATAGATGGTTTGTTTTCCTCTTCTGATTGCACTATAATTGTTTCTGCTGTTGTTGTCGATGAATGTGATTCAGGCGCATTGTTATTTATATTTTCAATGACATTAATTAATTCAAACAAATTTTTGATCACAAAATCAGCATGTGGTAATGCTTGTTGATATAAATGATTATCTTCCAATCCGATTAAAACTGTTTTAGTTCCGGCAGCTGCTCCTGCTTTGATATCATCTAAACTATCGCCTACCATTAAAACTTCATTGACATTAAGTTTCCATCGTTGGCAAATATGATGTATGGCATCGGGATGAGGTTTAGGAGGAGAAAATGTTCGACTTAACATGACAGAAAATGGTTCTTGTTTCGCATAATTCATTAATTCAACAGTTCGATTCATAATTGTATCGTTATTTCGTGTTAAAAGAGCACGATTAATATTATTTTCAATTAAATAATCAAATAATTGTTTAATATCCGGCATTAATTCCATTCGTTTCAAACCAAATTCTTCTTCTTCAATTAATATTTCATTTAATTTGGAACGTAATGGTTCTGATTGATTGTTAACAAATTCAATTATATCGCCACCTGGTTTAATTCCACAACGTTCACGCATCCGAGCAAAATCAATAGCTCCTGGTCTTGTTAATGTTCCATCCATATCAAAAATGACGCCTCGAATACGAGACGATAGTGACGCTATTAATTGTCGACTTTTAGATGCCATTTGTTTCAAACAATAGCTATCTAAAGTTGACAATAATTTACACAATGGAGAAAGTCGTTTAATAACATTATAAGTCCTTTGGTCTATTAAGATAAACGTACATTTCTTTTATCAATGATTTAAGTAATCGATAAATGTCTTTTTTATTTTGAAAATAAACGAAAAGGTCTTCATTTCTGTTATTTTTTTGTTTAAAACAAAGAAGAAATCAAAATTAAAACATTCCACAGAACAATCTTACTTTTATTCTGTTATTCTTGTTTAAAAAAGAGAGAGAACGACATTAAAAAAACAGAGAACTAAACACGATGATGAATTGTCTACGATGTTGCTATTTGCTGTTATTTTTCTATTAGGAATGAATATCCATCATATCAGCTGATGTTAGTAATTCTGCTTCCTCTGGTTTTTGTACATGAATTTTTTCCGGATACATATTGTCTAATACTTGTATACCATCCTTATTAATCACACGTACAAATACACAATGTGGATAAGCAGCCATACGTTTACCTAAACAATATATGAATATATGAAATGGAAACTTCGTTGAATTAAAGAATTAACAAATGACACATAATAAATGATTTTCTGCGTAGTTTTTGCATAACTTTCTTATTTTTTCATTGTGTAGATTTTGAACTTTGTTTTTAAAGATTTGTCACTTCATTCTCTGCAAAAAATATATCGAACATTTTTCTATATACTGTAAAAATAGAAAAGTACAGAGGACATACTAATTTCAACTTTCATATTTTGGGATATACGAAAAAGAGAACATAGATATTTAATATCTCTTGACAAGCTGTATCAACGGATTAAACTTAAAATTCTCCATTGTCATAAGCTGTTGCATATGGAGGTTGAGTTTGTTTTATCTTAATGTAGAATAATTTTCCACATTCGAACAGATAAAGTTTAATAGCTTACTTTCTTTTCGTGTAACAAGGCGAAAAAGTCAGATTTGCTCTAATTCTGACTTTTGTGCCAGAACAAACGTTCAAAACTAAAATCTATGATACACAAAAACAAAAGCGACGCTCCAAAGCGCTCGAACGCACATTTTAACTCCACGTTGTTGCATGAAACCATGTTCAAGATTGTTTCTATCGTTGTGTTTTGGATTAGAAAATTGTCAAGATTGAGCTTCACAGTATGTCCCCTGTACTTGTCTATTTTTACAGTATATAGAAAAATGTTCGATATATTTTTTTGCGAAGAATGAAATGGCAAATCTTTAAAAACAAAATCTACGCGATAAAAAAATAAGAAGGTTATGCAAAAAATACGAAGAAAATCATTTATTATGTGTCATCCATTAGCATTCAAAGTTAGTTAGTTAGACCCATTACCTTTCGGTGTAGGGTAAGACAACATAAAAGAAGTACACAAAAAATACACAAATGAAAGAAGTGTTCATTCAGCTTCTGTCCTGTTCGTTCACATTATGTAAATAAATAAAGGCTTTTCATCCGACTATCACCCTCCAAGTATACTCGGTTTAGATGATATTCTTCATTTCACCAGTATTATTAAACATAATTTTTTTTCACATCATTTCTTTCCAATTTTAATGTTGTTTTTCTTACACCAATCTTTTGCACACGACTTCACATGTCCTGTGAAAGATCTGTTACAATTTGAACGTACATTCCATCCGCCGAAATTCACAGTTGTTTGTGCGTTCGCGCATCGTTTCCTTGTCTGTTTTGTAGCCAAAAGAGTTTTATGTCCAAGAAGTGGGTGGCTAGCCCAAATCTAAGACGGGTGGCTCCCAGCAGCCCAGGGTCGCCTACTACTGCTATTCAGAACAGCCGTAGGGCCCTGTAGAAGTTCGAAAACTCCCCCGGTAGCATTCGAAGACAAGTACTACTTTTCAGTGTGAATCCAATGGCTTAGTTACATGCTTCTTTTAGGTCACAATACAGACATACCTAATTCATTAACAATAACTTGCAACATATGTAAACCGTCTTCTAATGTCATATTTTCTCTCCATAGTTTATCACCAACACCCAATGCGAAAAATTGACAAAATCCATGTGCAACAACATTGGCTGATATCATGGCACCTAAATAATCGATCGAGAATAATTGTGCTTTTTGTTGATCAGCATCATTTGTTGTAAAACCACCAATTATCAAATTGGCTGCATAGGAATTTCTTGAACGTAATGAATTTGCCATTTCATGTCGAGTAAAATTGGCACATGCATATGGAGATAATTCAATACCATTAATCATTTTGTACAACTGAATATTTTTCCCAACATATTCAGCAAATTGAACAACATCTCCGGGTTCACCAGCTACAAGAAGAATTAGATAAAAAGTTTTATTTATTAATCGAACATTTTCCTACTTACAAGCTAACATTGCACAATGTTCAGATAGTTTAAATAAACGATTTGTGTCAAATTTCATATTTAAAATACCATATTTTGTTGTATTGGCATCTTGAGCTAATAATACAAAATCTTTACCACGTATACCAATGATTGATTCGACCATGATTGTTTGATTAAGTTAGCTAGATTTATTTTAGATCGATAATTAACAATAGACAAGATCTATTAGCAAAGTTATCCTCGACTTTTCTAAAACAAAACTAAAGAGTAGAGAAGATACTTTTTTAGAAAAGCCGTGGTAAAAATCTTCGACAGACATTGATAGGACAATTCAGTCTCATTTACATCAAAGGCACTTGCTTCATTTATGGAATACTAGAACGTCTTTATAGTATAGTCAGATTCGAGCATAGACCTAAGACCTATATATAGAAAATAATGAATTTAGATAGCTTAGACCTGCTTTTCGATAAAAAAACAATTCATTTCCTATATTTCTAGTTTAGTTAAAACTAGAAAAAAAATGATAGAACGTTTTTCGATATGGACACAAGGTTAAAGACAAAAAGGTAAGAAACTGATAATCTAAAACACAAAATCACCAAAATTTTGAACTACTTTTTTTTTCTCCGTCTCGTGTTGATGATGACGATGCATCTTTGATATGAATCATTTTCGTATGAATAAGAAGATGCTGAATCAGACAATAGACTACTAAATTGTGTTTTCACTCTAAATGTTGATTGTTCCGAAGAAAAATCTCGAGAAGAAAATTCATCATTAAGGTTTTTCACAATCATTAAGGTTTTTCTCTATATGACACGAAGTGCAGATAGGCGTTTATTTAGATGTCTGTCACCATTCCGTGTCAGCATCATGACAAGATAGGTTTTAGCAGAGAAGGATCATGTGCTCTGAATACCGCGTCACAAGATCGAACTGAGACGTTCCGATAAATCAAAATTAGCAGTTCGCATATTCACGCAAAATACATGAAAAACTGTATATAGGCTCAGATAAACGAAATGATACACACGAAAAATCATTGTTTTCTTTCGATTTCTATTTATTCTTTATGCGCTCTGAAAAAAGTCTAATACTAATATAAAATTTCTAAGACGCACACTTCAACTAATTTTCTTTAAGATAACCAACTTTTCCATCTAAATTTATTTTTACACATAACGTACAAAAAAACTAGCAAAGAAAATATTTCTTGATTCTCTCTATATATAATGTTTCATATGTATATAAATAAATTCAGAGTATTTTAACTACGATAATAAATGAAGGTGAACGGTGTTTGATTAAACTGAATATTCTTTATGATAGATCACCATTTGTATATAAACACTTCTTGCTACGTTGGAAAATGAAGCTGCCATTACATTGAACGTTTTGAATAGATATACCACTCTTTAAATTGAATAATAATAATAACCGTTATTGAATAAAACTAAGAATAGAAGGAAAATAATGTATCATAAAGAATATCATGAATAGCTCGTATTATAATTGAACATTTTTTCTTAATGGTTTATTTTTGTTTGTATGCCACGAAAATTTTTGATAATGACATTAATCGATATAAGCGAGCATTTTAACATCTGAAATAAATGTCATCCAAAATTCATCCAGGTTGAATATATTTTTTATTGATTTTGTACGTATATTAATTGAATCAAAGCGAATACAAATTGACAGTTCTTTTTAATTATGTTATTATTTTCAATCATTCATTCATTGATCGAATGTTTTCTATGACAGATTTATCATATCTAACTTTGTTAAATGTTATTCAGATCTCGAAAAAAGTCGATGACTACGATAAAATGACCAATAAACAACATTAACTGATTTTTAACATATACGTCATCCAATGTAGGAGGTTCTTTGAAGAAAACATTCTCAGATAACTAAAAAGAAAAAGAACAGTATATTATCATCGTAGAGTAGAGATATTCTAAATCACATTTTATATAAAAATGTAATTAGTTCTAATGACAAAATCTACATTACCTTGTCAACGTCCAAAATTTAAACAACTTTTTTGCTCAACTTTTTGCTTTTATTTTATTAGTTTAATCTAAACAATAAAAAAAAACGAACAACTTAAGATCTTATTTGTGTTTTATTTATTTATGATTATACACAACAAGATGACTGTTTTAATGTTGTTGATATACTTATTGACTGATACCAGTTTATTTCATATTTTGTCTGGAAATGTCACAAATCGAGAGATTAATAATGTTTACGCAAATCCCAAACAGATTGGAAAACTCATTGTTTATGCATTAGAACAAAAAAAGAAGTGGCTCTATAGAATTCATCAAAAGTCTTATAGTTAACAGTTTCCATAAGTACAAAACTTCCAATGAGAACTTTGCTAATTTCATCTAAAATAGTTACTAATACCACAAAACTAATTCATTTTTCTCTTAGAGAGATACTCATGATCACTGATTTAACTGTCTTATTTCCAAATATATTTTGTTTAGGCAAAAAGTAAACTGTTGTGAAGAAGAGTAAGGGTTTATGAGAACCGAAGCATCAAATTATTACGAGAGAAAACAAATGCTATTTTCTATGTGAAATTAGGAACAATTACTAACTCGCTATTAGTAAATTTATAAAATCGTTATATTATCGTTAAACAAATAGTTATTTATACACCAGATGATTATAAATCTAACAATTATGGACATAGTAATAGATGCGTTTAAAAGAATGCTAAAATCTCAAGACAGTTATTCGTTTCGCACTAATAAGTTACGCTACTTTAGTCTTCATAGTTTGTCAACTTTTTTAGTTTTAATCGTTGAGATAAAAAAGAAATTTGTCTTAACACCGATTTAGATGCGTATAATTATTGGTACTATACAGAAAAACCAAAAAAATTGAAGAAAAAAAAAAAGCCAAAAATAAAATATAAAATGATAGAAAACACAAAGGAAACAGTTATCATTATAATGATTCAAAACACATAATGGATAGAAAGCGGACAAAAATAACGTGTCAAGAAACAATTATTTATGCCATTTACACAATAGTTGACCATATTATATATATATACGAGAATAGAGAAATATCGGTCACATAAAGTTAAATCGTAAAAATAATAGCAAAATTATTTGAGTCATATAGACTACAAAGAAAGAGTAGTAATAATAAAAAAAAACGATTAACAATAAAACACTGTTTAATGAGTGGAGACAAACAGCTATTTGTCGAAAAACTGAATTAAATTGTTGATTCTATTGGGATTTCCTTGTTTAAGTGCACGAATTGAATCCTAAAAAAAGTAGAAAAAAAAAATCCGTTATATAAAAAAATATTATAGTTTTCACTATTGTTCATTGCATAGAAAAGCAAAAATATTTAAATCAAACATACCCTTTCGTGTGTTGACATTGCTGGTGTTGGTTCTCCGACGTACATTGATTTTCTATTCGATCGATAATCGACTTGAGTGATTGTTGTTGGTGTTGTTATTAATGTTGAAGATGGTTTATTATTTTCATCCTTTGAATCGATTTTTGTTGATAAACGTCGATTTTGCGATGATGAACGAGGAGACGAAGAAGTAAATGTTGTTGTGTTTGTTTTAGTATTATTTGTTGACAAAAGTGGAGATGAATTAGGAGAAGAAGGTGTTATACTGACAGGAGCTGTAACGTTTAAGTTGATTTCTGATACAATATGTTCGGTTTTGTTAACCTTCTTATAGTCTTTATCAATAGGTGTTGATTGTTGCTGCAGAGGCACGTCCAAAGTAGTATCTTTTGTTGTATTACTAGAGAAAGAAAATGGATATATTGATCGAAATATAAAACAAATTTACTTACTATTTAACTTGTTTTTGTTTAGCAATATCGATCCAAGACGGACTATTCGTTGTAGCTCCATCACTATTTTTTGTTATAGTTGACGCATTTAGTATGTCTACTTTTGCTTGTATTCCACCCACTGTTTTTCGTCGATTATTTATTGGTTGTTCAATTGGACTTCTTTTTTTTTCTATAGTTAATTTTGGTGGTAACGATAGTTCTAGTATTGTTGACTCTTCTTTTGGTACTTGTTGTTCAGGTGATGGTGTTCGATGTCGTTCATATTTCGATTCTAATTCGTTTATATTTGTTTGATCTACCATTTCCACTTGATCGTCATCTTTGGTAATTTCTTCTTGTTTTGTTTTTATTCTTTTAATTGAACGTTGTTTCTGTAACTTATTCCATACGTTTTCTAATTCATTTTTTTGTTTATCCGATGATACATGAACTGTTGTTGGACGTTTTTGTCTAACACTTGCAGGACCATGATCACGGGTTTGAACAGAAGATGATGATGTTGAAGTATCATTTGAGACCGGTGATGGAGCAATATTCTCGGTATCCTCTTGTGGATATTTAATTAGATCTTTTGAATTATGACGAAATACATCTAAATTATCGTATATATGTTCATTCGACGTTGATAAATGATGTTTGGAGACTAGTGATGACAGTGCAGATGAAGGAAATGTTGTTGTAACAAATGTTGCTTTTGCTAAAGATGGTTCAATCAATTGCTTTTGTATTTGTTGTTCATTACGATAGCGATTATTATCGTAAAAGCGAGAAGAAACTAAATAGTAAAAAAAACCTTTAGTTATTTATATTATAACCTAATAGTAAAAACGTACGTTTATTTTCATCAATTTGAGTATTATTTATTAATTCTTCATTAAAATTTGAATCAGCGTAATCTTGTTTAGACTTGAGTACTGGTTGCTGTGATGATATTAAAGTTTCTAGATTATTATCGCTTGTACTCGTTAAATCTGTTCGATTCGATTTTCTAAAATGATTATGTGTATTTTCATCTTCAGTTTTATCAGATCGACTGTCAGATGAACATATCGATTTTATTGTTGTAAATTGTTCATCTTGTTTTGATGTTTGATGATAGAGTGATTGTGTCATTGTTAATTGTGAAAGAGTGGATGATGGTTTTGATATAGCAGATTTGTCAGTATCAGTAATCGGACGTTTAAAACTAACAGAACGTTGAATAATTGATGATGATTGAGGACTTACTGATGTTGTTTCAGAATCTCTTAGATTTGTAGAGGTTGCTGTTGACGACGAAGATAATAACAAAACGTTATCTGCTGAACGATCACGACGACTGGATAAACGAAGTTTTGCTCGAACTGTATCGATATCGGTTAAACTAACTAGTGGAATTGTGGGAGTTTTCAAGGTGGTTGAAGAAATATCCTACGAAAAATAAATAAATAAAGAAAAATTACTTTAGTTTTGATTAAGATTTCAGCTAACTTCATTTCTTTGTTTGTCAATAATAGACGATGATTTTCCATTAGAATCCAAATAATTTTGCTGTTTTGATAAATGTTCACGTGAAGATGATGATAATAGATGGTGTCGCTGTGTCTCATCATTAATATTGACTTCTTCTGGTGTAGACGATAAAACTATAATAGAAAGAAAATATACAAGAAAAATTGTCAAAAAAAATCATAACCGAGAAAATAATCACAACTTTCACACTCCATTCACAAATAGTTTATTCAATGAATAGTTAATAATATACAAAAAAATAATAAATTTAAAATGAAAAAAATTTAAAAACGTTGGATAGCAGCAGAATCATCTAAATAAAATAAATTTTTTGTATTGTAAATTTTTATCACTGATAATCAATAATAACTCACTAAAAAACTTTTTATTCTTAGATTTTTTTGTAGTACGACTCTTTTTTTGATCTACAGGTAATGATTGAGTTGCTTTTAAATATGTTCGTTGTTTTGGAGGTAACGGTGGCGGTTGATCATCATCGTCTAGATCTTTAATATAAATTTTAGATATATTAACAGCAATCAGTACCATGTTATTGATTTTAATTGGTTTTTTTTTTGTATAAAAGCAATAGCAGGAGCGTTATGTTGTACAATTCACCAAATGCAGAGCACGTGCACATCATATGGATACCTAATTTAAGTTTTTCCAACTGAATTGTTTTTCCAGTTTGATTAATTAATGATTTTGTTTTTATTGGCATTGTAGTTGTATATAATGAATTAGAACGTACGATAGCTACCGGTTTAGATACTACTAAAACACACACCACACTACACACTCTCACACATACGATATTCATAAATTATATTTCATTTTATCTACTAGAAAGCGCTTTAATTAATAATTAACGTATACATACCGGATGTAGAAAATAAATCTTGTTCATTTTCATCTCGTTCACCAAGTGTACTTAACTAAAAAAAAATAATTAAGAAATAAATAACACAAGTAGCGCCAGTAATAAATAATAATAATTAAACATTTTTTAACGTGTACTCACTCGTGGTCTTGTCGGTTTTCTTCTTGTATTTTTTACTGATATTTTATCACGTGCTGCTGAATTTTCTAATCGTTCACATGTTTGTATTACAGTATTAAATGAAGCTTAATAAAAATAAACAACTCAATCTAAAAATGACATTTTATAAACTACTTTAAACTTACATTCATCTGATTCTCGACGCATTCGAATACTACTAACAGATGATTCCTAGAATAATAGAAGAAAATAATAATTTATTATTTTTATTGTTTTTACATATAAAACACTTACATGATCCATTTCTTTGACAGATGCGTAAGAGCTACTACCAGACGATGCCTAAAATTGAAAAAATAATAAAATAAACAAAAAAACGTATTAGAAACAGTGATTAGATTAAGCATTTACAGCATTAATCATATTTCCAAATTAGTTTTTATTAGATAGCTGCTGCTTACCGTCTTTTCTTTGGATTTATTCTATAAACAATATATATATATAGATTTCAATTTAACAGGTGTTTTGTTTCTTTTATATATATATATAGGCTAGTATAGTATACCGCACAACTGGAATCTACGTCATACTCATCATTTCTTTTTTTGTGTGGATATTTTACAATTATCCACATATATATATATATATATGCACACCATTTTTTCTTTCCTTTTTTATTTAAAAATTTATCGATACGTTTAACTTTAACAACAAACAGTGTGTCTATGTAATATTAACTATTCGAACAATACTAAAAAGAAATTATTCTTCTTCATCCTGTGCTCTCTTATTGTGAGTATATAAAAGAAAAGAAAGAAAAACGAACTAATACCAATTCTTTTTTATCAATTATATTGAATATAAAAATGAAAACAATCCTATGGCACATTCCCAGAAAGAGAAATGGTGATTATCGAAATAAGTCATCAATTGAAGAATAAAATTAAATAAATTTATACTAGAAGGTCTACAATGTATAACATTTCTTTCAATATGTCAGTCTATTAGACTTAGGTCTATTACAATCGTTCCATAATAAAAAATCTGGCTTGATATCAAATATATTTTCTGTCATAGCGTCAACTGGATCTAGAAAACATGTTTTGTCTATTTCCTATCTGCGAACGTCAGAAGTCTAATAAACTCGTCTCGATCTACCGTTGAGTCAAGAGTTAGAAAAGTTACTCATATGAACAATAAATTAAAATTTACCATCTTCAAATGCTATCTGTAAACATATTGAAACGCATGCAAAAACGTCCTTCTTGTCTCTCTTCGTCACTGTTGTTGTTAAAAGAGAAAAATTTGAGCTATTTATTCAATCACTATTTCTAATTTGTTTCAATAAGTTTTTTTATGATCCATACGTCCTAAACTATTTGTCTTTTTGTTAATTTTGATAACAAAAAAAAACAAGAAAAATGAAAAAAAAAAATTTTTTTTTTCTTCACGAGTGTTGTTGATTTTGTAACAATTTGAAAACATACGTGTTTATTAGCTATGAGTGTGTATACTTTAACTTTGAATCAGAATTTTTAATGAACATATTAAAGTAAGTACGTCAGAACTATGTAGTTTGAAGAAAGTAAAAGAAATGAAAATTAAAAAAAAAAATATGAACTATTTTTTTTCTTTCTTTGGCTCATTCTTCTGAGTAAAAAACCATCACATAAGCTATAGT